GCCCAGGAGTTGGAGGTTGCTGTGAGCTGTAATGCCACGGCACTCTGCCCAGGGGGACAGCTTGAGGCTCTGTCTCAAAAAAAAAAAAAAAAACCAATGACCAGGGTTAAAAAGAAACTATGTGGACAGTAGCATAGTGAACATGGAAGACATCTGTAGGCCAAAGGGCATTCTGAAAAATCTAATTTATAGTCACAATTACTTTTTATTTATAGAAATTTTCCAGAACTATTTTTTGAAAGTATTAGAATTATTAAAAAGCAAGTTGTTTTCTTGGTGAGGGTTGGAATGGTCTTTGAAAGTTATTCCAATTAAATCATTCAAAATGGTACTAACATTTTTATCAAGTTAAGGGTCAAAATCAAAGTTCTGTCCATTCCTAGGTCCAGAAAAAAGATTTATTCATGTTCACCAAGAGAACACGTGTAAGAATATTTACACCAGCACTATTTGAGCCTAAAACTAGGATCAACCCAAATGTCTACCTAAAGTAGAATAAATAACATAGTATTGTGGTATCTATATGATGGAATACTAAGCAATGAGAATAAAGAAACCACAACTGCAAATAACAGATAGGTCTCATAACCATCATGTTGGATAAAAGAAGCTAGATCCCAAAGAGGATATTCTCCATGCACTACATTTACATAAAATTCAAAAATAGGTAATGCTCTATTATTTGAGATAGACAATAATGGCATAGATATGTTCACTTTGTGAAAAGTTACTGAGCTACATGTGTATGATTTGTGCACTTTTGTGTGACTATGTTAAAATTTATTAAAATTTGGTTAAAAGAATTTGGCTGGTTTGTTAAAAGAGCACAATTTTAAAAAGTATTCAAAGATGCACATGTACTAAAACAGGTTTATTCAAAATAACAGATAAAATGCCAACTTTAAATTGTAGGAATGAAAAAAACTAAGTATCATTTATTAATATAAACTATATTCTCTCCAACTTCTTGGGAAGACAATTCCCAATTGAGAAATATAGGATCTATTGGGAAAAATAGAATAGGATTAAGGAGATGAAGTAATGAAGTTATAAAGAACCCTTATTGGCTCGGTGCCTGTGGCTCAAGTGGCTAAGGCACCAGCCACATAAGGTGGCGGGTTCAGGTCCAGCCCAGGCCCGCCAAACAACAATGA